TATTTGTTCTGCACCGACGAGGCTCAAACTCTCCCTGAATTAGTGCAGTGAGATTTATTTCCTCCAAATTTTGAATGGCTTAAGAGAGATTGGGGTGGAGGGGGAGGCCAGGCGGGAGGTAACGCGGGGAGAAGAGTGGAGAGGGGTCGGGGAGGGGGAAGGTGAGCTCTTCTGGAGGTCAGGTGTCCTCGGCTCTTTGGAAAGAAAGCCTAATGGCCATCTTTCACATCTCAATCATCAGCATCTGGGCACTGGAGACCAAGTCTCCATGTTTCTGCTGTTAGCCTCTCAAGGGTACTGATCCACAGTGGGCGAGATCTGGACAGTGGGAAGTGAAACTCCTTAAAACTTATTTTCTAGTTGGAGAGGGTGAAGCTCAGGGAATGTCAAGAATGGCAGCATCAGTATCGCACCCATAACTGGAAATCCCCCTTCCCCATCCCATGCCTGGATCAGACTGGCCATTTGTGTCCTGGGTGGCTAAAGTGTCCAGCTCCCATGGTCCCTGCCCTAGCCACTGTATCCTCCACGCCAGGGCCAAAATAGGGCTACTGGAAAGGACTCCTTGAGGGTGGCTTCTAGCCTCTTCCCCAACCTTATGGGGTGACATTGGAGGGTAACTTAGAGATAGAAATCAATGCTTAGGCAGGTGTAGGATGGGCCACTGGGGAAGGGGCTGCGGAGTGGGCTGGGAACAGCCTTCAAGATGCCCATAGCATCAGCGCAGCCATGGAACAAACAGCTGAGTCATTGGGAAACTGAGCTTGCTTCTTGGGGCTGACCCAGAGTGTCTCAGCAGCCCCCACACTTGGGGTTAGCAGGTAGCCTTTCGGGTGAAGGAAAGATCCAGATGGATAAGCAGAGGAGCCACAGGCAGCCCCACCAACCCTGCCCGGGGGTCATGTGAGAAGCTGTGGGTTAGCACAGGTGTCATCCGAGCTCCTAGGCTCAGGGATCCTGGCAACAGGGTGGGTGTTCCACCCAGAGGTGGGATGGTGGGATATGTAGAGAGGATTTGGGAGTTGAAAGTGCTGCTCAGGCCAAGAGGGGCTGGGGAGAGGGGCCATGGCATCCACGAGGAAGCCTGCTCTAAGCTCTATGGTGCTCACTTCACTTGCAGGACCAGGATGGAAAAAGCAGGTTTTCTTCTACTGAGACTTTACAGAAGTCATAGAAAACACTTCCGGGTATGCCTTCGTCTCTCTCTCTCCCTCTCTCTCACACACACACACACAAACACACCCCACAGCAGGGAGATCTGACCCCTCCTGGTGAGAGGTTTGTAAGATGGAACAGTGCTAGAGCTCTGCCTTGAAGGTGCACACTGTCCCCCAGTGGAAGGGACAGAGCTTCCACCCCAGTCCCTGAAAGCCCACTTCACTGCAAGCCCCGTGATCTGCAAGTTCACCTCTTGGACTTTATCTCCCTCCTTTCGCCTACCTTACTCCAGCCACACACAAGCCTGGACTTTGTTCCAGACACACGCCACACTCATTTCTATCTCAAGTGCTTTGGTCCTCTCTTGCTTGGAACGCCCCTTGCTCAGACCTTTTCTTGAGTGCCTCTTCATCATTGGAGGCTTCACTCAAATGCCACCTCCTCAGAGAGGCCTTCCCTGACCACTCTCCTCTCCGAAGGGGCCAGGACAGCGGCCGAGGAGCCCGCCTCCTGCCCCCACCCTAGCCCCAAGGCTGGTGGCTGGGAGATGGAGCCACCGGCAGCTCCCTCTTCCCCACCCCACATGCCACACTCACTGTGTACACAGAACACACGATGCTTGCACACACACTGCATACAAATAACATGTAGCACACACACACACATATTGCATATAATACAGGGCACATGCACAGTGTATTCACAGCACACGATCCCTGCACCCCAGCTTCATGCACACAACACACATGTGCATAGTCCCTCAGAGACATAACACCATGTGTGCACAGAAATAAAAGTGCCCAGGACAGTCCACTGACACGCCACTCACACTTGCTATCATTGACAGCCTACGTTCAACCTAGGTGCACATGCATGCACAGACACCCACACCCACCCACCCACACACACACACCCCATCCCCTCTCCTTCCAGCAGCTGCCCACCCTCCTTGCAACCCGTGAGAAAGAAACGTGCAGTGACCAGCGGCTGCCGTGGGGATGGGGGGCGCGGGCTGCACCCCCACCACCTGGCACGATGCTGCGGATTATTAGTTCCTGGTAATTTAGTGCCCTTGTACAGAGTCGATTTGTGCCTTTCATTCCTAATTGATCTAGTGGCTGTTTAAATGGCAGCAGGCATCTGTTGAGAGTAGGAAGGTTCATAAGGCGCAATAATTCATAACACCGTCTGGAATTTGCCTTTCATGTCCCTCAGCTAAACCACTGCAGGGCTCTGCTTAAATCACAGCCGTGGAGGCTTTCTTTGGTATTCCACTCAGGGCCAGGAGAATCTTGCATTAAACTGGGATCAGGTTAGATTAGACTATAATATGCTGAGGTATTAGTGGCTGCAAATGAAGACTTAGACTGGAGTTTAACCCCTTCATCTGCTTTTCTCTTTGTCTTCAGCGGCTGGCTGAGCGAACCCATTGTCTTCCCACCAGCTTCTTGAGGGGGCCGAATAGATCTTCCAGCAATCTGGGGGCAGACAGGCTAGCCTCAGATAGTGACCCTTTTTCTCTTCATGCTACCACCCAGCCTGCAGCCTTGGAGCCCAGCTGTTTATGCATCAGCTCCCAAACCCAGGGTCAGGGCAGCAGCGTCCAGGTGCAGCTCTGCCAAGCCAGGCGGCTCACCAGAGACAGGAGTTCACCTCCCCTCCCTGCCCCCTGCCCCCGAGCTTGGGTTGAATGACCAGCAGGTATGGGTTTGGGTGTGGATGGGTCTCAGCACTGTCTGCCTTTCTGTCCAGAATTATTAGAATCCCAGGATGGGACAGGCTCATCAGGGTTCCCTGTCTGCCTACGAACACTCTGTAGGCTGGCTGTTCATTCCTTCTTGGCGTGGTTAATCATAGTGTTCCTGCTGGAAGAAGCACGGTGGGTTTTCCTCTTCAAGATTTCTTGTGCTTTCCAATATGGTAGCCACTAGCCACATGTTGCTATTTAAATTAAAATTAGACAGAGTTAAAAATTCAAGGTCCTAGGCAAAACAGCCATTTGTTTAAAACTTTTTGTTTTATATTGGAATATTATAGCCAATGTAACAAGTTGTGATAGTTTCAAGTGGACAGCAAAGGGACGCATCCATCCATATACATGTATCCATTCTCCCCCTAACTTCCCTCCCATTCAGACTGCCACATAACACTGAGCAGAGTCCCCAGTGTTCTACATTAGGTCCTTGTTGGTTATCCATTTTCAGCACAGCAGTGTGTACATGTCCATCCCAAACTCCCTAACTATCCTTCCTCCCATTCGGCCCCCGCCGGCAGTCAGAAGTTCATTCTCTGTGAGTCTGTTTCTGCTTTGTAAGTCAGTTCATTCGTATCATCACAACAGCCGTGTTTTAAGTGTCTGCTGGCCTCAGTTAGTTGGTGGAGAGTGTAGAACCTTTTCATCTTTGCAGGAAGTTCTGCTGGGCAGTGCTGGCCACAGCAGCCCCATTGGCAGGAGCCTGGGGACCAGGCCTGACACATGCTTTCTCCTCTCCCAGCAAACAGATTTTCATCAAAAAGAAAGGAGCCAGATTTCGTGGTCCCAGGGGACTTCAGTGAGAAGCCAGAGAGGGATGTGCATATGCTTTTGGGAACCACAGTGAGGGGAATAGGGCTCCAGAGTCCAGTGTCAACACCCATGTAAGCACACACACAGGTGCTGGGTGTGAAGACAGAGCTGTTCACTCAGGCTGCAGAGAAATGAGACTGAGATGCACTAACATATGCAAATGACGTCTCACCCATAACATACATATGTATTCAACAAATGTTTACTCGGATCACGTTCCACTGCTAGACTCCGCAGAGAGTGAAGAATACAATGGGCTTGCTTCCTGCCCTCATGGAGCTGACAGACTAGTGAGGAAGGCAGGCGGCAAGGCAAACAAGCCAGGTCTGTGTCGGTTTCGGGGTGGGGCAGTCAGGGCAGCTTCCCAGAGCTGGTGATGTGGAAGCCAAGACCCGGAGAGCGGCCAGGTCAGCACTTCAGCTTACATCCACCCATCACAGAACCACCCGTGTCGCCAAACACGCTCACGCTCACATATTCCTCATTCACCAGTTCATTGTCAGTCGCCAAATATGTGTTAAGTGCCTGCTGTGAGCATCAGCGCAAGGTCCTAAGGATACAATGATCATTGAGACAGGGACAGTCCTGGGGAAAAACAGTGGCCAAGTAATGATGCGTATTATTATTTAATTGCAGTTGTGCTAAGTGGGTGTTGATGGAAGTGTGTAGGGAGGTGTCACCTGTAAGTGGGGTGTCTGACCTAAACTGAGTCAGCCAGCAGAGGCAGGATGGATGGGGACATCTGCCCACCATGTGTGACGAGTAGCCAGGTCCACACACCTTCCTCCCCGCTCTCCCCCCACCTCCCCAACCCCCATCGACACTTGCCAACACACAGGTACTGCCCTTGGCTGAGTCTACACAGTCATCTGTGACCTGCGATGAATGTTTACATCCAGGGCTTTTCTGCACACTTCCCATATTTCCTTCCCGTGTTGACCTTGAGCCCGAAATGGACACCTACCTCTTTGAAGGGTTATACCCAGCATCTCTCATCAAATATCCACACAATTTATCTAGACAAAGAGAACAGGTAGGCTCCCAGTAGGGGAGGAACAGAAGCCACTGAGGCCCCAGGAATGAGGAGGTTGGATCTTCCGTGCCAGGGTATGAAATGCTGCTGTCCCGACGGACCGTGGGGACCAGGACCTTCCTCCAGTAGTGGGACCCTGGGAGAAGAGGTGACAGGAAGGTGGGATGGGCCTCTGAAGGCTTCTGAGCCCTGATGGCAGCAGGTCTCTGAGTGCGCATGTGTGAGCTCTCGCTGTCCCCACAGGCATCCTCTTTTCCCGCTCCTGACGCTGCTGTTTGAGAAATGTGAACAGGCCACCCAGGGCTCTGAGTGCATCACGTCCGCCAGCTTCGACGTGGACATCGAGAATTTTGTCCACCAGCAGGAGCAGGAACACAAGCCCTTCTTCAGCGATGACCCGGAACTGGACAATCTGGTAAAGACCCTCCAACCCCCACCCTGGCTAGGGTCGTCCTGCCCTCTGATCCCCTCCAAATGCCCCAAAAGCAATCCTTTCATTCATTCATTCAGCAAAGAAATGTTCTTCCCCCCTGTGGGCAGGCCTTGGTGTTCCAGCAGCTGAGAACCTTTAACCAAGAGTTGCACACACTGGTGATGCTGCCAAAGCTCTCCCTTCCTCCTCCCCCGCAGCACCAGCGTCACCTCCCCCCTTCTTGCAGTGCAGATGAGAGAAGGGGAGGGCCATGGCATCCAGACTGTTCTGAGGGCTGGAATCCTGGCATATTGGGAAATCCGTCTTGGGCTGCCCAAAGAGGAGCTGATGGCCATGTGCTACATTGTGAAGGAGGAGGGTGACATGCATATTCAAGCACATCAGTGGATAGGAAGACTGGAAGCAACAGATGAGAAGCCCAGCTTCTCTACTGAGAAGACCAGCAGATGTCCTGCCCATTTAGGATACAGTAGATCAGGCTCCCAAGCCTAGCTTGTCATCCAGATCATCACTACAGCTTTAAAAAGTACATGCTCCTGGGCCCCTCCACCTGGAAACCAGGATTCAATAAGTTTAGTGGGACTTGCACATGTACATTTTTAAAGGTTTCCCAGACAACTTCAATCTTCAATAAAGCTTGGGAGCCACTAGATTAGATGATACTTTAACTCTTCGTTTGGCCCTGGGAATCCTGCTGAGAAAAGAGCTGTGGAGAGACCGCTCTGTTTGTTCATCATGACAACAGTTATCCTGGGATTATTAACCATGATTCTTGATTTTGCTGTGGGTGGATTATCCAGATCATGCACAGTGAATTTGGAAACTGAAAATATGTCTTCCATAAGTTGATTGATTATAGCACTGACCTCCATCCAGAATTTAGTTAGTACCTACTCCCCAAAGGGAAACAGATTTAGAAAAGCCAATGTGACTCCAGGAAGGAAGGAACACGCACACACACACACACACACACATACACAGTGCATCTGCAGAGCAGACTTAAATGACTTGGGTATTATTCTGTGTTGTGAATGACCCACCCCTCTGCTTCTCTCAGGAGTTGACTATCATACTTTATGGAGTCCAGGAGAGCTACCAGGAGAGGCCCCCCTCCTTGGCCTGGAAATCTATGAAGTGTTATGGTGCATTATGATACAGCACAGAGGATACACACATGGTCAAGGTCAGGAGCATTAGTGAAGGTTTCTGGGAGCCCCAGACACACCTCTGCTCGACTCCTGGCTGTGACTGAGCTAACATCCTTTCAGGTGACACAGTCCCCTATCTCCCAGGTCCCCTGGGACAGCAGTCCCCATGCACGTTCTCCATTTGGTTGGGTAGTTAGTGCAGGCAGACTTGCCCCTGCCCTGCTGTTCATCTGATCAGAATCTCAAAACCACAATTGTGAGTCAGGTCTTTAGAAGCTACCCCCGCAGCAGGCATGGGGCCAGGAGGTGAGGCAGCCATTTGTGTGGGAGCTGGAATGAACACTCCCTTCACTTGACCCTCAAGAGAAGCTGAGACCTCAACTGGCGGGAAATACCTAAAATAGGCTGAGTAATATGAAAGAATATAACCCTTCTTCAGAAGTAGGAGTCCTGGCGAAACAAACCTTGCAAACTTGCCCGCTGCCATCTGCCAGGTGAGCTCTGGAAGACATCTCCCCCTCCCAGCCCAAGGACAGCCTCTTAGTCTACTGAGTTGGCCAGAAAGTTCATTTGGATTTTTCCATAAGACGTAATGGAAAAACCTGGAAAACAAACTTTTTAGCCAACCCAAGAGTACAGCCTGGAAATACCAAAAAGTGACCATCTCCATGCTCTCCCCTGGACGACACTACCTGGGTCTCTCAGGGGACTGTTCACTCAAAGACTCAGATTTCTTCATCTAATCCAGCAAAACGTGGTAGTGTCCACCATGTGCCTTGCCTGATCTGAGGGTGGGGTTGCTGCAGGAGCTGCCCCAGTGGCCCCAGGTCCCTGGTGCTCCCTGTGCTTCTATCCCAAGTGATGGGCTGGGAGTGGTCCACTCATGGAGCAGGCTTTGCACAGCCCACCCACTCACATGGACCCGGAGGAGTTTACCTGGGGGAGTTGGCCACAGTCAGTGACTGATGGATGGATCAATTATTTAAATGGAGGTGGTTGAAGGAACCAACCTGAGGCCAAGCTCACCCTCTGGGTGGCTTTGACGACAGCTCCTTTGAAGCTCAATTTCCCCATCTGTAGAGCCAGCACACCCGTCTCCTGTGACTGTCATAAAAAACTAACGCCATGACTAGTGGAACTAAATGGCCTTTGAAAATGCGTGGCATCCAGAAGGTTAAGGTCAAATGCAGTATCAGTAAGGCCAGGCATTCCAGCCGCCTCACCTCACCTCCAGGCCATCAGGAGACATGTGGCTGAGGGCCTGAAACCTTCCGGGGCTTGGGGGGGAGTGGGGGCGCTGGGATCAGGCTGTGCCCTTTGCCATCCCACGTGTGGTCCTGTGTCGGGAGCGGGGAGGTGAGGAGGCCGACCACAGGAGCCGTCATTAGAACGAGAGTCGTGCAGCCGGCACTGGCAAGATGCACATAATTAGAAATTAGAAAAAGGTCAGATCGCGTCATTATCAGCTCAATCAGCTGCCGAGTGCCACAGCCAGTTAATTTGGCATCTGTATTTTTTACAACCCCGCACACGTAGCCCAGCGGACTGTAACTCTTTATCCGGACAGATATACTGCGCAGCGGAGCAGGGACATAAAATGAGACCCCAAGCAAATGAGCTGAGATAATTGAGAGATTTATTTTTTATATATATGTGTGTCAGGGCGGCTTTCCTTTGCCCTTGAATGTTGACTTTCACAGATGGGCTTGTAACGAGGACACTGGGATCCCCCCAAACTGTCCCACCCTGGATCCTGGAGCGGGGCTCAGATCCTGCCTCCTCCCCAGCCCCACCAGGCCTACCACCCCCCAGATGCGGGTCTTCCCCCTCCTGCTGGCCCCTCTCCTCCCATCCAAGCAAATCGCTGTGTCCACCTCCCCGGCTCCCGAGAGCTCCTGGACAGGTTCCCATGGGAACCACAGCTGACGAAGCCCTCCTAGGGCTGCTCAGAGACCAGAGAGGTTCCCAGAGCGTAGGTTTCTGAGTAAACCTCCCTTCCCGGTTAGCCAGCTGCCAGAATAGAAATTGAGAATCGTAAAACACTGGGGTAAAACCCCAAGCATAGAGAGCAGTGTGTCCATTTTACAGATCGGGACGCTGGAGTCCGGAGAAGGGCGGTGACTTGTCAGCGCCCAGGTCTGCTGACTCCTTCCACTCCATCACCCACCTCTCTGCTTCCCCGGGGGCAGCAGAGCCCTCATTTATAAATAAGCATCTCACAAAAAAATAGCCTGATAAGAAAAGTGAAGAGGAGTGCAAGTCTGAGTAATAAAAACATATGACATTAATTGTAAAAAATTAAAAAAATTAAATAAGCGTCTCTACTGCTGGTACACACAATCCCTGACCCTCTCCACCTCCCCATTTCAGTACCATGGGGGTGGCATCCCCCTGGTCAGCTCCTCCAGAGACAAACCCCCCCACCCGGCCCTGGCTCCAATTCCCCCCCCCCCACACACCCCAGTACTCACCAGCCCTCTGTCACCTGGCCCATTGATCCCCTATTTGGGCCCAGCAGCCTCTGACTGGCAGTTGGTACAGTTTGTAAAATTTGCAAGTTCCCCAAACCCCTTTGAAAGGCAAAAGCTTTTTGTTTTATAAAATCTGATTTACGGGCCCCCAGTGCAGGGCCGAGGTTTTATATATTATGCAAGATTTCAAACCGAGGCTGTAAAACGTACGGTTTCAGTTTCATGCATGGAATTTTTTTATGTGTAAATTTTTTAACATTTATGGGGCACGTTTTAATGAGACTCTGGTGGGGCTCACGGGACAGATTAGAGCTGCCTGATCGCAAAGCCAGTTCCAACAGGGGGCCCCCCAGGCCCCTGAGCCCTCTCTGAAGGGGGTGGGGTGCAGAGGCCAGAGGTTGCGAATATGGAGACATGTGAAGGAGGCAGGCTGGAGCCGTGGGTCTACAGGGTCCCCAGGCAGCACCCCTTCAGAGAGTCATTCCTTCCTGCCTTCTATCCAGACCCTCTTCACCTCGACGGGAGCAGAAAATCCCACAAGACCCCAGAACAGGGAAAGGAAATAATAATCAAAGCTAGTAATAAATAACATTTATAGCATACTTACTGGGTGCCAGGTGCCGTTGTCCTAAACACTACACCTGTATTATCTTATTTAATCCTCTTTTCAGACCCACAAGGCACAGATTATTACTATCCCTATTTTAAGATGAGGGGGCTTAAAGATGAGAGAAGCCTGGTGGCTCAGACGGTAAAGATTCTGCCCGCAACACAGGAGAACCAAGTTCAATCCCTGGGTCAGAAAGATGCCCTGGAGAAGGAAATGGCTACCCACTTCAGTATTCTTGCCTGGAGAATTCCATGGACAGGGGAGCCTGGCGGGCTGCAGTCCACGGGGTCTAAAAGAGTTGGGCAGGACTTTCACTAAGATGAGGATCTTGTGACATGAGGTGAAATCATAGCTCAAGATCACACAGCTTGAACGTGAGTCAAACACAGGCGCGGAGCCCTGGCCCACGCTCAGCAATTATGCGGCCCTAGACTCTGTCTTTTCTTAGTACTCCCTCTGCATTCATCTTTAGTTCTTTTCTGGCCAAATCTCTTCCATCCTCAGTATGATGTTGAGGGAGTTGCTGTTGTTATCCCATTTTACAGATGAGAACAAGGAAATGCAGAGATCATGTGAATCCTGCAGAGCATCCCAGAAGGTGGAGGGCCCCAGACTCAGCCTCCAAAAATCCACTATTTCCTAGCACCCAGCTCTGCTATTTAATTCTCGAGATAGCCCTGGGAGGAGTTATCATTATAACCACTTTAGAAGGGAGAATCCAAGACTGAGAACCCTGTAGTCACTGAGTTTACA